CCCCCCCCTCCCGACGTGCGCTCGGCGAAACGTTTGTTTTGCGGAATAAATTTGTTTTATGCAAAAATAGGTCATTTTTCGAGCTGCCCTCCTTCGATCCCCCCGTACCATGTACATTACGTATTGCCTCGGTATATATAACGATGAAAGCGCGCTCCAGCTGGATCTCTCACGTGTGCTTGTATATGCTAATGGCCGGGTTTTCAGGATGAAAATTGATTGCGTTGCCGCTCCGTGGCCAATGATTTTTCATTCACCCTTTTTTTTTTTTTTTTGCTTTGCCTTGGCTTCTCCTTGCCCGTCTACGGTAATTAAACTCGATATGGGCCGATTTTTTGCTCCCCCCATCTCGGAAGATTCGCTGCTGCGTAACAAAACGTTGACCCGCATATACTTTTCCTCCCCCGATCTCTGCTTCTTCTCCATCAGCCCCTTTTATTCAGCTGTCACTGCTTTTTTTCCACTCTCTGTATTCTCTTTCCCATCAAAGCGAGATCTGTGCACTGTAGGGTGTTTCGCCAAACATGAAGTTTACACGGAGACGTTTCGAATGGTGAAAAACACCTCAATGTATCGCACGTGGAGGCAAAATTCTTTATCAAAGAAGAAGGGGGTGATCGACGATCCTAAAGCTTTAGGCGTGTGCTGGCTCCTGAAAAGGCTTCTCTCGACGCAGTGTGTATAATTTTGCCTGAAAATGGCCTTTCTTAATCAAATAAACATGCACAAGCATTGGCACAGGCACCGAATCGGCGGGCGCTTCTCTGGAATTAAATTCATTTTTTTTCGTACCGGGAATCGTACGAGGGGGTGTATCGAGTGTACGGAGCGTTTCCAGTTTCGGAGAGTCCAGGGTATACGAGTAAAGGAAGAAAAAAAGAAAAGAGAAACAGGGCGCAAGAATGTTCGCAAAATCGTGGCCATTGATCACACCATGTATGTATAGAATAAGCTTATATACGTGTAAGCCCGTGGCCAAAAGTCCGCCGATTGCAGGAGGAGCACTTTTATCATACACGTGTGTATATTCGACGATTTTCGATGCTCGGAGTAGTGCGCCAAAACTCGTTTTCGAGCAGCCCCCCCCCCCCCTCCTGTAATAACGCACACGTGTACGTATATTATATAGCGCCAGGTACAGCAGCGCATATCCTTCTGGTCTCCTCGCGTTTCTCGGAATCCCCGGCGCGCAGTCGGAGACCGAGGAGCCTCTCTCTCTCTCTCTCTCTATGTACATCCCTTCGTATATACGGCGGACAAAAGCGGAGCACGCGCCGGTGTCTTTTTGCTCCTCTTGCGCTCGTTTGAATCGATTGCGCACGATTTGAAGGAGGAAAATAGAGAGAGCACCGGGCTCTAGGAATAATTTTTAGCTGAAACCGATCTCCCCTCCGGGCGATGCAGATCTCGGCCGATCTTATTTTGTACTCGCCGTATACACCGGAGAGGCTGACCTTGCGTTGTTGTCTTGGGGTATTACGTATCATACGTTATATTATATTGTACCTTATATATATATGTACCAGCGCCGGATTCTCGGGTGTACGTGTCCCTATATGCACGGCTACCGATTTATTGAGCTATTACATACGTGTTTGTAATTTATGCATCGCGAGCGAGCGTATAAACTATATACCGTATGAGCGCTTGGAAATTTATAAAATTCGTACTAGATAAAATCGGTCGTTATACATTGTGCCACATCGTATACCCAGGTATACCTGGATCGATCTGAGAAATTGAATTCCCGAATAATTATACCGCGAGCACACGGTACACCGCGAGGTATTCAATCAATAAACGAAGTGAGACGTATATACCAGTTTTTATTTCGGGGCGGCCTGTACATACAAATTGGCCTCGATGAAGAGCTCCCGAGTTCCACCTGTCCCGAATTAGCATAACGCGCGAGCTAAAAATCTTCATTTACCTCGAAACCCTCCCAAATAAGGGTGGACGCCGGAACCGTGTACCTGTACCAATTGACATCGAGGCGCCCTTTCCGAGGTGCCCATACATACGCGTGTCGGATTTTTTGGTGTCGCCATCCTCTCGGAATGTCACCAACGATTTTCGGTACCGTCCTGCACGTGCGCCCGTGGTTTTTTCGCAGCAACTTCTCAAATACACGAATTCGTGGTTTTTATTCGATTGTTGTGCGCTTCAGGATGAAAAGAAACCTCTAAAGTACACGTTATTTACACCCAAATGTCATGCAGCAACGCGTCGATAGTTAAAAAAAAAAAAAAAAAAAATCCTCGGAAACTCGGCTCGTAATTACCGATAATTGCAGAAAGATATAAAATTTAATTAATGCACACGCGTCCATAACGCGGGTGTAAAAAAACGCATAATAACACGGTAGAGCCGCGCGCAGCGGGCCATTGATTTTCTTTTTCTTCGCGCGAAACGATCGCCTCTATATACCGAAGTTGCGTTTTTTTCTCAATTACAACAGATGAAATATTAAATCGGAGATACGAGCTCTGTTTCTTTTCCCTTTCCCCCTTCCCGAGACTACACTCGCGGGATCCAGGGGTTTCGCAATCCGGCGATAAATTCATCCGCGCCGGGCGAGTTTTAATCGACGCCTAATCGCGCCCCCGATCTTCGGACTTTCTTACCGGAGTAGATACAATATACACGCGAATCTTAGAGACCACGGCTCTCTTGGCGTAGTGTGCCGCACGAAACACATGTACACGTATATAATATATATGCGAGGGATATAGACAGGGAGCATTCCAGCTCTGGCTGATAAAATCGAGGAGCCATACCAATTACGGGGAAAAGGTGAAACGTCGTGAAACGTCTCGCTCCTTGTTGTTTGCGAGGGAAAAAACTTAGGGATGGTGTATACTAGTTTTCTTACGAACAGAGTGGCCGATTGTATTTAGATTCGTCAGTGGAATCATTTGGCGCTCGTCACTCCAACCGTTGGGTTTGAGCACCAAATTTTTCGACGTATATGCAAAATAAAAAAAAAACACAGGGGGCAGGGAAAAAAATGCCCGATAAATCATAATCGCAAGAAAAAAAAAAAACAAAAGCTCTTCGAGGCAGGAGAGAGGCATAAACGTGTTTTATTAATACGCGATCGAGCCTCTCGCGAAGCGATACTCACCGCAACCCCGGCGCACATTCATTTTCCGAAGCGTGTAATTACCCGGCCGGAGGAAGAAAATTTCGCGATTTACGACGGAAGTCGCGATCGATCCTTACCTCCCTTTCTCCGAAGGTGGGCTGCCGGCACGTGTGTATATACCCATACGCACGTACAAAAGGCGCACAAGGTGCTCTCGAGAACATCGAGAGGAGGGCAAGGGAAAAAAAGTACATTTCAGCGCCGCGTCGCGAAACAATGCCGCGCGCAAGCACACACACACACACACGGTGCGTATTATGAATACGTATCCTCGCGATTTTTTCTTATCAATAGCGCCGATCTCGCTCTTTCGCTGCATGGCGCTTTCCCTTCCTCCTCTCTCTATAATCTCGCGATACTGTTTATTAAGCACACGTACAGACACGTTGCACGTATACTGCAATCGGGCATATCGATCGGCCCTACGCGTGCAAGCCCAAGGTATACACACGACATCGTACACAGTGAGACCGCGTGTTTGCGTGGTGAGAGCTTTTACGAGCTTGCCTTTACCACGTGGTGCACGTATAGAACTATAAACTTTTTTTTTGTCGTTTGCAATTTTAATTAGATCAGATGGGCTAGTGTGTAGGTATTCCTTATTATTATTCCATCCGGCTCGTCATCCTGATAATCGTATGAGTGAAAAAGTAGTAACTTCGCACACACATCAGTCCCAAAACGCTCGAGTTATTTTAAATGATTCATTCGTGGGTTAGGAGGGCATGAATTTTTGTGGAAACCTTGAAAGCCCGAAGAAATCTTTATGGGCCACATGTATATGTATACACACGTACGGACAGCTACACGTAATGAATTCCCGAAGGTCTTGGCCGTATATATATATTGTGTGCGCCTCCTTTTCTTCTCCCTCGGATTTATGGCCCGAAATATTTCCGAGACAGATTAAATCGCTAAATTTTTTTGCACCCGCCAACCACGGCAGCCTTGTAATTAGCAATTTCGGGGCGCTCCGTTTGAGTGACATTTCGCGTTTTTGCCGCTGCACTGCCACACACACTCACACGGCTATACGCTCCCTAGTCGTTAATTTTTCGACTTTCGCGTATCCTTCAGAGAAATATTATAAATCCTATTAGCTTTTTCCTCCCTCCCGCTCCAGCTCGTCTTTTTCTAGTTTCGTTCTTTTCGGGAATCCTGATAATATGCCCTCGCATCCGAGCGTTCATCTCCCACCACTTTTCTTGTCTCCTTCGTTCCATCTTGTACAGCGCAAAATATGCGCCCACAAACGGAAATTCCATTCGTATACGGTGGGCGTATAAATTTCAGGCCCGGTTGGTGCACTTGTTTTTCAAACGCCGATTCGAAAGTGATGAGCTCGCTTATTATGTTATTCGAAAGTTGAACGAACCCGCGCTTTCCAGTTAGCGGTGAAGTTTGAGCGAAAGGCCACAATGAAACTTCAATATCGGCTTGTTTTCGCTGACTGTAGTGCCCAAACCTTTACGTCGAAAAGGAGGTGCCCGACAAACGGAAAACAAAGAGAAAAAAAAAAACAAAAAAAATTACGTAATCATCGCGCCGATGTGAAAAGAAATTCTGATGCAAAGTTGGTTGTGCCGTTTCGTTCCGTGAAATGTGATTCCCCCGTTTTCGCTGAGCTGGGCAGGTTTCTTTGGTGCGAATGGGATAAGAAATAAAGCTGGGGAACTTGGAAAAATAATTTTTTTTTTTTTCAATCTGCCGCGTCGACTCGTTGTTCAATAAACGCTACGTCATGAAATTGCTGACAAATTAGGCACTTGTCAATCTCTTTGCACACCCACGAGCGACGAAGCAAAAAGAAATAAGCAAACTAAATGACCTTTTTTTTTTCTGTCCCGGAAAGCAGCCCTACTGCGCCAGAGCATGTCACCGGTGTCAGCGGAAGCCCTAAGTTCAGCCGCTGGGGGTGGAGGCGCTAACAAGAACTCGCCAGGATCTGCCAGCACGCCTCAGCCGGTGATCGACTACTCGCGCTACGTGCGGCGCTACAGCAGCGGCCAGGAGTGCGGCAGCTCGTACTGCAAGGACCTCGGGTGCCGGGAGCACTTCCACTGCCTCGACTGCAGCGGCCGGGTGTTCGTGAAGAAGGAGGAGATGATCCGGCACTTCAAGTGGCACAAGAAACGCGACGAGTCGCTACTGCACGGCTTCATGCGCTACTCACCCACCGACGACTGCTCGGATCGCTACCCCGGCCGGCAGTGCCCCCACAATCGCAAACAGACCCATTACCACTGCATACACGACAACTGCGACAAGGTGTACATATCGACCTCGGACGTGCAAATGCACGCCAATTACCACAGAAAGGACTCGGCCATCATACAGGAGGGCTTTCAGAGGTTCCGCGCCACCGAGAACTGCGCCACCGACCACTGCCCCTTCACCGGCCAGAGGACCACGCACTTCCACTGCAGGCGGACCAACTGTCGCTACACCTTCAAGAACAAGGCCGACATGGGTAAGAGTTACTTTTTCTTTATGTTTTTTTTTTTTTTTTCTACGTGTCCACGACGTCAAACCTATGTATGTATTTTACAGACAAGCACAAGTCGTACCACATAAAGGACGAGCAGCTGTCGCGGGACGGCTTCAAAAAGTTCATGAAGTCGGAGGCGTGTCCGTTCGAGCAGTGCCGTTTCTCCCGGGTGTGCAACCACATCCACTGCATCAGGCCGCAATGTAGCTACGTCCTCCACTCGTCGGGGCAGCTGTTCTCGCACAAGCGCAAGCACGAGCGCAACGACTCGGAGATCGCCTACCGCAAGTACAAGCAGATAGGCGGGCACAACGGGCCTAGCCTTGCTCCGGGCATGCGGGGCGGACCGGGCTCTTGGCCACCAACGGACGACCTCGGCTCGCAAGGCCTGGCGCTCAGCCTCAACGGCGAGAGTTCCAACGAGGGTCGCGGCTCGCCCTCCTACTACTCCATGGACGACTCCTTCCAAAGCGCCAGCGACCTGGCCATGGACCTCACGGCCACCACCACCTTATCCGGTGCCCTCACCACCACCCCGGTTGCAGGTGGCTCCGGCTCCACCAGCCTCGGGGACAACCACCAGCTCACCACCACCGAACTGGGTGAGTATATATACACAAAGACCTCCCTTTATCCACATTATCGAACGAACGTGGCAATGACGAAGATACATTGTTTAGCGTACCTGATGCCCGCGAGTCAGGAGTGCGGCTGCGGTCTGGGCAAGGAGCACTACCACTGCGCGCTGGACCGTTGCGGGGCGACGCTGCGGGACCCGCGGGAGGTGCGCGAGCACTTGCGCGAGCACGAGACCCAAGAGCGCATAACCGACGCCTTCTTCGAGGAGGGCTGCTGCGACGAGACGAGCGGCTGTCCTTACGCGGACAAGGAGAAGCACTACCACTGCAACTGGGACAACTGCCGGGAGGTTATACTCGCCACGGACAAGCCGTTCCGGCGGCTCCAGCACTACAAGATCCACGAGTACAGTCGCCGGTTGAACCTGTCGGGCGCCTCGCATCCCCTGTCCTCGGACGTGACGCTCACCCACCTGACCAACATAGACGCGATGTTCAGGCGGAAGCGCGGTCGCCCACCCAAGAACCGGGTCATCGAGATCTGGAGCGGCGGAGCTGGGGATGCAACCGGGCACCACACCCAGGACACGCCCCAGGCGATATTTACGAGCTTCAAGCTGCCGAAGCCGACGCCGAGCAGCGCCATGGCCTCGACGAGCCTCGTGGCGATCGGCTCGGCCGGGCTCGACGACCGGGAGGGCAGTCTGTCTCCGACCAGCGACCCGGTCGGCTTCTCCACCTACAACCAAGGTATAGTAAAAAGACCCGCTCTCTCTCTCTCTGTTTGCACTTTTTTTGCGTGGTTTTGACAATGCTTTTAACATTTGGTCGGCAGATGCCTGTCCGGATTTCTCGTGCACGCTGCGCTCGACGAGGCACCACCACTGCTCCCAGCCGCGCTGCCACTTCTCGACGGACCGGCCGGAGCAGTTGCTCATGCACAGCAAGGACTTCCACGACAACCTGGACATACCGCCGGGCTTCGCGTTCTTCGACCGGACGATAGATTGCCGGCTGGCCGGCTGCCACAGCAACCGGACGAACCGGCATTACCACTGCACGAGGCCCGGCTGTGGCTACTCGTTCGTGCGCTACTCGACGATGGCGCTGCACGACAAGCAGCACGAGGAGGCCGCCGCGACCGGCCGGCACGAGGAGCCACCACCACCGGCGGCGTTCGTCGCGCAAGACGCGAAGCCGAGGATACAGGTGAAGAACCCGGCCGAGCTCATCGACAAGCTCGCCGAGTCGATCATGGACGACAAGGAGCAAAAGGAGATCGAGATCGCTGCTGTCGACGGGTGCAACAAGACCACGGGTTAGTCGATTTCCTTCTTTTTTTCACCTCTACCATCATTGACGATTTGTCACAAGTGTTTGAGTGAGATTGTTTTTGTCGTTTGGTTTTGTTTGTCGAGGAAATAAGATGTTGCGGTTGCAGTTCCTGTACTCTATACCGATGATCTTTTTTGTCACCGGTATGGTACACCTGCGATCGAAATACACGCATGCGATTTGCACGTAGTTAGAGAGGCACTTTTTTTCATTCACCATGATTGATTTAGAGTTGAATTTTTTTTCTTCTTTTTTTTTTTAATTTCAAATGAAAATTGAGAGAAATTTGCACGCACATGATATTTTTGGCACTTTTATTGAGAGTTGGAGCACCAAGAAAGAGAGAGAGAGAGAGAGAGAGAGTGTGTGTGTGTAATGGCGTAAACGAGTAATAGAAATTGGGAAGGTGAAATTGAAGTGTCGGTCGTTTTTTTTGGTTGATTGTTGCTGTAGTGGTGAGGGCGGCTGGCACCTATTATCCGGTCAGCGGACCGCCGAGCGAACCCGCGCTACCGGGTGCCATACTATCCATGCGAGCTTCCGTGCACCAAGGTTCGTTTTACTTCTATCTCTGATCCTTCGTCTCCTCTTTGACTCTCTTCATTGATTGATCTTTTTTTTTTTTTTTTTTTTTTTTTTTCTTCTCTCTTTTTTTTTTTTTTTTTTTTTTTTTTTTTTTTTTTTTTTCTTCCTCCTACGATTTGTATCTTTTGGAACATTTTTTACTTTTACTTTTTTGTTTTTTTGTTTTTTAACAAACAAATTTTCATGTTCGATCCATCGTATTTGAAGTGTGAAAAGTAGATTGACATAAAATAAACGCATCTGCATGCCATAACACTAATAAAAATTGCTGATAATTCCATAAACACGTACAGTAAGACAAATTCAATCGAATTATTCCACAACATTAACAACGATTCGTGGAAACGATCAGACAAATTTCCACTAACAGTATCACGCCACTAATCCCGCACCCACTAACCTCTCGGCCGTAAACAAAAAAAATTCTATTTTGTAAGGAAAACACACAAAAAAAAAAAAAAAAAAAAAAAACAAAAAAAAAAAAAAACAACCACTCGACTCAGTCCAAAAACTCGCTGAAAATTGCAGAACCAATCCTGCCGTCGGTGTCCACGAGCACGATCGCATCCCCGAGCCTGGCGTCGTCGCCCCACACCCTGTACGGGCCCGAGCAGAGCTGCAGCCGTCCGTTCTGCAAGCTCAAGCGCAAAAACCACTACCACTGCAACGCCTGCAACCAGGCGTTCTCGGAGGTCGACAAGCTCGTCGCCCACATAGCCAAGCACTCGACCGGCGCCATACTCAGCCAACAGCAGCTCCAGCCCCACGAGCTCCAGCAAGCACCACCCCCGCAGCAACGACCGCGCCAGCCGTCGCCCACGAACCACCAGCAACAACAGCTCGCCCAGCTGACGCAGCACGAGTACCTCGCCCAACTGTCCCAGCAGGCCCAGAAGCACGACTTTATGGCCCAAAACATCCAAAACTTCCAGAGCCAGATGCAACGCCAGATCCAGCAACAACAGGCCATGCCGAAGGTCGAGCCGTCCCTCACCCACGGCCAATCCACCGGCCAGACCTCCCAATTGAGCATCAAGCGCGAGATCAAGCGCGAGCAGCCAGACGTGCAGGAGATCAACGCCATCCCTGGACTGGACGGCCACGAGAACGGCCAGCAACAGCTACAGCAACAGATGATCCAGGTGGTGACGGGCCCGAGCGTCCAGCAGCAGCAGCAGCAGCCCCCAGGGGCCTTCGAGCTCGACCTCGGCCACGGCTTCCACTTCCCCAGCCCGGCGGTCATGGCGGCCATGAACCAACAGATAGCTCTGATGAACCAAGCGCTGCCGCCCTTCCTGCAACACGGCGGCGCCATGTACGCCGGGGCCCCGGGACTGATGTTCGCCCCGGGCCTGCCTCCCGGGAACTTTTTGCCACCCGGCCGGGGCGACGAGAACCCCCTCGCGTCGTTGGCTGCCAACTTGAACCTCACGAAGCGCTCGCTGTCGCCGCCCGACGCCAACTCGCCCGAAGCGAAGAAGCAACGGCTCCACCACTCGATGCGCATGCTCAAGGACGAGCCGGTGCCCGAGGGGTACATAAGGTTCCGGTTCAACGAGGACTGCCGGTACACGCACTGCGGCTACCGGGAGCACCAGACCCACTTCCACTGCATGCGCCAGGACTGCGGCTACTCGTTCTGCGACAAGACGCGCTTCGTCCAGCACACGGCGAGGCACGAGCGCCTCGACACCCTCATGGGCGGGGACTTTCAGCAGTACCGGGCCAACGTGCCATGCGGCCGGGGCCAGTGCGCGTACACCTCGTCCCTGGGCTCGATGCAGAACAAGGCCTCGCACTTTCATTGCTTGAAGTGCGACTTTGTCTGCACGGACACGAACAAGGTGGTGGCCCACAGGCGCCAGCACGCCAAGCAGGACAGCATAGCCGCGGCTGGCTTTCAAAAGTTCACGCCCAGCCAGCCGTGCGGGGCCGTTCAGTGCCAGCACTCGGGCAAACAGACCCATTACCACTGCCTGCAGTGCAAGTACGCGGTGCTGGGCTTGGCCCAGATGTCGGCCCACAAGTACCGGCACATGGACGCCTAGCATCGGGAGAGCAGTAACCAGGGCCCCTGGAAGCCGGCCCGATGATATGCCACTGGTGCGCAAGTGCGTGCTAGTGCGCAGGCGAACCGGGCTCGGGTTGTCGAACAAAACTCTACGCATCCGTATGCATTGTCTGTACAGTTTTTAACGTGTAATAGTTTTTCCTTTTCTCTTTTAGCAAGTAAGCGTTGTACGTAGATCGTTCGTATATATATATATATTGTTGTAGTGGGCGAGGATTCGCGAGAAACACAATGTACATTTTCACTCGACTGTGCATATCTCTTTCTAAGAAGCGTTCTTTTTTTCTTTTTTTTTTTCATTTCTCGAGAGAACGCGTCCGAGAGTCTTTAAGATTAAACAATACTTTATATATGTACACTGTGTCGGGCTAACGCGTAGATATATACGTAGAGTTTTCAATGTAGTCGTGTGTGAGCGTGAATGGTTGTCGTAGTTTTTTTTTCTTTTTTCACACTAATACGACGATTCACGATCATAGAGTCGAAAGAAGAATTGGACGATTGGGCGATGCGAGTTTTTTTTCTCACCGTTCATTGACGACTGTATTATTTTTTTTTCTTTTTTTTTTTCATACGAGTATACGATACGAGTCACTGTAGTTGTATCATGTAATTAATTGGGAGAACAAGAGAGTCATAAAAATGCACTGCGATCGAGATCGAGGAGATATTTAAATACAAGAGAGAAGTGGAGAGGAGAGATTTGATTTGTTTCGATGCATTCGCGGCGACTGATTATAGCAAAAAATGTAGGAAAATTAAAAAAAAAAAGAAAAAAAAAAAGTGTCGGAGAGAATTGTATTCTACATAATGTTTCTCCCACATTTTGTGTATAACTTTATACGTATGTGTGTGTGTAATGCAATCTCTTCTGTAGTTACAAAAAATCACGAGTAGTGTTTACCCGTTGTATGATTATTGTAATAAACAAAAAGAAGGGATGAACAAATTTTTTTTAAAAGTCTATCAAAAAAAGAGCACGCGTATAGAATATCGTATTACAAACAGTATTGTGAAGATTATTTATAAAAAAAAAGACTGCCACTTGAGGCGAATAAACTAAAAAATAAATCTGTGTAAGAATCGGGTGTAATTGATGAGTCGAAGAAATTGCTAAGTACATAATTGATGATATTGGATACGTGTGAGAGCGAATGGTTTACGTGAAAAAGGAAATGGTGATACAATAGAAAAATGGCTTTCAAGAGCGAAAAATTGAAAAAAAAAAAAAAAGTGATGTCGTGTTAAGAAATGTGTATTTAAGTATAACGAAAAAAAGCTACATCGGATAAGAAGCTATCGAAAATTTACAACCATACATATACATACATAAAAATATACATATTTATATGATATTCGAGGCAAAACAATAAAGTCGGAAAACTATATATCTAGCTACAAAAGATTGTCATGTCGACGTAAGCTGCAGCTGTGCGTTTGTATACGAAATAAAATAAAATAAATAGGATTTCAAGCGAAGAAGACTTGACGTTTGAAAATAGATTTTTTTTTTTTAACGATAAAGCCGTAACTGTATAATGGTATAATGCTCGTTGATTCAATGTCAAATGCGTACACACTCGGATCAAGTTTTTGTGAAGAAAAAAGTGAAGCGCTGGAGGTGCCTTTAGGGCTTTTCGTGAAATTTTTCCTTCGTAGAAGCGTGTGTGCCTTAGGATAACGAGACGATACGCGAATTTTTGTATTTATATCGATCAACGTGGACAATACTTATTAACAGATAATAAAATAGTTCGCGGATCGAGCGTTTTATCGTCTACTGTTAAAAGCAGCGAAACGATAACTTGACTCGAGTTACTACAGCTCCTTGTAGATGGCAGCATCTTTTACTTTGAAATGATATAATTTATCTTCTTTCTTACTTGTAATATAACTCACTTCCAAATTAATTGTTAAACGGATTTAAAATGATAAAAGTGAATGAAAATGTAAAATTATATATTTAATGATTATTGCAAATACAATAACTTTATTTATCGAGAAAAATTTTATGGTTGCGTTTTATTTTATTTCTTTGTATATACATTTGTCACATCACCATAGATAACATTAAATCGAGCCATTATTGTTTATAGAACAATATATTGGTGCTATTACAACATTATAACATTGATTGAAATCGTAAATGACACACGATGAAAATATGGTTTGCAACACAAACAAAAACATCTATTTCAAAATAAAAGATATCGCCTATCTATTGTTTACTTATGTAGTACATTGAAAACCGATGCCCACACACACAGCGCGAGAGCACGTGAACAAACTAAAACTATAAATCTTGTAGTGCCTTAAATAATAGAAAAGAAGCCTTTTCACATGTTGCTGGACAAACGCCGTAGTCATGCAAATAGTCAGTTTTAAATTTTTATCGTGCTTTTAGAGTTTAAATTACTATTTTCATGATCACACTTATTTTTCTCACTAATCGTTTTCCCGAAGAACCTGTGAATAAGAAAACGAGATCATTGTCTTTGTTTGACTGGAGAAAAACAGTAAGCAATTGTATTGCAACGAAGTTCGAAATTATTTTTTTTAAGATTGTCTGTGGAGGAAAATCAAAAAATCTTTTTATTAGAAATTTTTCACAAGCACCTCGACATGATAGCAGCCACTTACGAGAAAAATTTTTTTTGCATCCTACAAGTTACGTTGTTGTGAACGGTTTACAAAAAACAAATAATAATACAGTCATTTGCTTTCCCGCGCAGCGCATCCATCGATTTCTAATGTTTTATTTTATTTTTTACTGTACAGCCGATCGAACGAAACTTCAAGAGTAAAAAAAAATGTAATAAACAGACCAACGATACCTACACTTTGAATAAAAAGTGACGATACAAAATAAAAAAAATACATATTTACCGCACTCGCAATGGGGATGGGGCATCTAAGAGAAAACACGTGCGCTTGAGTCTCTGGTGTCGTGGAAACTCGATAACACAGGATTTAACTTTGATTTCGATGCACGCAAACGCTTCGTGAGGATTGGAAAAAAAAAAAAAAAAACGTATTTCTGCTTGGCTACAGGCTTCCTCAGCTAGCCAGCCATTTGAGTGCCATATATACACCGCAAATTTTTTTAACAAACTCAGACTGTGCGATGATCTATATGCTTGCGTGTGCATGCAAAAACTCGACAAAACTTATGTTCAGAATTTCTCATTATTTTCTTTTTGTTTTATTTATGTCAAAATTATATTTTATTTCTTTTTTTAAGGAAATTTTTTATTGCAATCTACGTCAAGAGCTTGGGTGACTTGTAAAAAAAAATTATTGGACTCTTCAGTTCAAAATATCGCTCTAAAAAGCTCATGACGTAGAACGACGCATTTGTTGTTCCCGTGGAGAAATCATAAATTTTGTTGGTAATTTTATCTAACTCACAACTATGATTTTAGAATAAGTATAAAACACAAAAAAATATATAAGAAACAAATCATGCACATTATCTTTGTTCAATTGTGTATAGAAAAGTGAAACTTTCTTTAATGTGTATTATAACGAAAAAATGTGTGAATCTAATTTTCTAATTGATCGACCAAGTTTTCCTTCGCTGAATGCAAATAGTGTAATATGTGTGGCATATCGCATGAATGATTAGTCCCAAAAGCCTGTATAAAATATTTATTTCGCACGTAAGACGTAAGAGTATCCAGCAAGGCGAAAAGCAAAAATCGCTAGGCATGGATAATTAGTTGCGGGAAAAATTGAGCGATGCTTTAATATAAAGTACATATGTATGTATAAATAAACAAATGGATCAATAAAAAAATAAAACAAAACATTCATACTTGTTATTTCATTTTTATCCGTAAAAACGAATGAATGCGCGAGTGATGCCGTGCAAGAAAGGCGAAGTTATTGAAAGAACAGAGAGAAAAGGTAAAAAAGATGGTTGATGAGAAAAATTCATTTACAGTTACTCGAACATCGATACATCATATTTATTTCGATATAAGAGTAAAATGACAAGTTGAGAATATGTACAAGAGTATGAATAAGAGAATTGCGATGAGATAAAAGTGACGTTATTGTTACAAGCGCAAGAATGTTGCAGTAAACGCAGACATAAATTGAAGATGATTAATATATGCGATAATATAACAAAGTAATAATTGGTAAGAAATTTGTAGATATATATATATATATATACATATATAGAGTTATGTAATACTGTACGATCATTAGTATTGTTTTGCATGGATGCAAGAAATAGAAAAATAACTATTAGGATTTCATCGCCAATTTATACCTCGTATTATATTATTACATCGTTAAGTCACTTACGTATTAACAAATTTTGTGGTTTTGCTTTCAAAAAGTGAAAATTAAAAATATTTATAGAAACAGATTACATCAATTTGTTTTTATTTCGTACCTTAATTCATAATCATTAGAGTTTCATGCGGGTCTGTTAACTGCTTAGTTAAAAAAAATTTTGTAAATGGTATTTAAACGATATAGTTAAATGCTATAGTACGTTTCTTCAAGATCTATGGATTTTTTAAAATAATGTAGTTCAACTGAGGATTTTATCGATCTTTTTACTTACATTTTAGAAACACATCGTACGACTTAAACCAAACATTAATGTGGTTACATATACTTCACTAACTGATCTATATCGGCTATCAAACATTCCATATTTATAGTAATATACTTAAGAATAACATAAACATAAAAATTTTTAGTTAAACTAATTTCCCACTGTTTTATCACTTGCTTTGTATTTAAAAATATCCAATCCAAACTTTTCTTATAGTTATTTAAAAATTGGTTCTAGTTGATTTCAGAACCCGCTCCCTTCGAGTATATTTTTCTGACTGATAAATTTGTTTTTCAGTTTACAAACTCTGTTAATTTTTTATGAAATACAAACATTTTTTTCAATTGTGTGATACATGAAAAATCCAATGTTATTACTTATCTAATTTTTATCAAAAGGACAACGCCGATTACTGATTTATCATTGGATATGCAAGTAAAGTTAATCAATGCACTGATTTTAAAGTCAATTGATTTGATGCTCTAGTTTTGTAAGACATTCGTGGTTGATCCAGTGATAAAATAGTTAATTTCATCACCTACTCAGCTTATTTATTTATTTATTTATCATTCAGCTTACACATTTATTGAACAAGATGAAAGATCAAGAATTTAGCTTCTACATCTCTGCATTATACGATTTCTTCATTAAAGGTGGAATTTGGAAATTTTTTTCAACACTGAAAAAAAAGAACAAATCAGTCTCAAAATTGATAATTTCTACCAAGTTAACTAATATACCTTTCATTTAGCCATCTAATAATTTTAAGTACGAAGATTGTGGCCAAGACTTCGGCATAATAATTTGTAATTGTGCATGGCAAAGTATTGCTTGCTTCCTCGAAAAAAAAGCTTCAACTGTACAGGTACATGCCAACAAAATTATACGTGTGGCACGTGGCTCCGAGAACGATGCCTGTCATTGATAACATACACAGGTAGTTGGAGCCTTTTTTATAACTGGCTCTTAATTCTGCACATGTTCGCTCATCTATACACTTCAGTACCGTATTACTTTGTCATTCAACACTTGATCCGGGCACAACTGTCTTCAAGAAATAAGATTGAGCTGACGAAATTAAGATTTTCTTGTATAAATGTACACGTTTTTATTGAATTATATCGCACGATGAAGTTGATTGAAGTTGAATTTTTTCTCCAATAAGCGCAGATACAGCGCAATTTTCAATGTTTGAGCAATATCTGATATCCAAGTAGATTATTTAAAAATCGAGTCCTTACGTTTATTTTAATTTTATATTTTTAAAAACAATAGAAACATTAAAGTTTTTACTTATGTCAAATTATTTAATATTTTTAGCCCGTACAGAAATATCTAATGAATATTGAAGTACCCTTATGAGTATATTTCTATACAAAAGCAAAGTGTAATGAAAGAATTATAGATGCACTTCTCGAACAAGATAAAAAACACTGATTACTTTCGATCGATTACTGTTTCAGCCCTGACGTGTCACTCTTTCCTTAGACAATATTTACGTCTGGGATGATCAAGTACTTGAGATACAGAATACACTACACTAACGTAATCCACCGCTGTATTCAGTACAGGTTTTTATTGGATTAAAAAAAAAGCTATGCAAATTTTTTATTGCTCAACGATGCATGTAATTAACTTACAATCACTCGTCGATGGAATCATTGAGGTTGAGCTCATTTTTATTATTGATGGAAAAAAAGAAATCTCATTTGATAAATACTTGACAGCACTTTGAAAATTACAAAGTCAATCTAGTCGGGCAAGCATGCATAATCATCTCAACGGCTTTTTTTCCAAAGACAGCAATAATAAAAGTCCGCTGCATCTACACTCGTCTGACATTGTACATGTCCTAGATGCTATTACGTAACAGTACTTGACAACATACTGTTCCAAAATAAGATCCTGAAAAGTCAAGAATCGCACAAAACAATTTAAACCTGCACGTATACATATATATGTTTACACGCGCTCGAACAGATTTGCCACACGACATTTTTATTTCAGATGCAAGTTGTTATTTTTCTCTCCATTTCTCTTCCTCCAACATCGCGAATCAGAGATCCAGTTATCAACAAAGTTTGCTCCAAAAATCGGCAACACGCTCGCGGTATCGTAACGTTTTTTTTCGACCGGAGCTACATTAGGAAGCCTTTTGTATCATAAATAACCAAAGTTTCCTCCCAAACGTGACGTTTCAACTAACGATATCACGTGCCTGGCTCGTGGTGCTCCGTGTAGTGTATATTGTTTGTCAAGTCGAGAAAATCGCGAACGAGAAGAAAAGAGCGCAACAAAAAGAGGAAAGGGGACGCGACAAAAAATAGTCGTGGGTATTTCAGGGCCGCTAAGAGTTGGCTTGTCGTACGTCGACCTGCCGAGCAGTTGTCGACGCA